GTGCGGAGACTACGGGGAGCCATTACGCAGACAGAGCTGACTCAACGGAGAGACGCGCCAGAGATAGGGTTTCAGTTCCCCGGTGCGCTGCTTCAGCCGTGTGTTCGAATTGAATTTGGGCGTGCACCATACTACTATACTTGTCAAGAATTCGTGACACGGCAAAGTGAAAGTTGGATGGGCAGAAGATATAACCAGAATAACTGTGAATAGTATTTATTACCAACCCTTTTAATTATAACAAAACAACAGAATAAATAAATAACAAACAAAACGTCAACGATACTTTTACAGGTATCGTTAGAGAAAATTGATTGAAGAAACATACTACTTCTTTAACAAGTCTGACAGCCTTTTTTGCAGTTTTTCATCTTTCCTGACTGTTTTCAGTAAGTTGTTGACCTTTTTGGTCATTTTAGTCAAAGTAAAAACCCCTGATGACCTCAGATTGACAAAAACTGTAACAAAAGAACAAGAATTCAGTGTCAATGGCTTTCTTGGCAATTTCGTGACATTGATTCATTCATAAGGGTTTACTTACAGCAGACTGCATGTGTTATGTGTGAGGGGATGCCCACTCTGCCATTTGTACCAGAACTGGACAAAAATGGCAAGCCAAGAACTACCTCTGGCACGCACTCCAGCAACAACTGACCGAACATCTCTTCAGGTTTGTCGAGGTACATTTTGGAATATCCCCAAGCGGCAACTTCATCAATATATGAATTGTGTTTTGGAGATAGTCTGACCTGAAAAATTTAATTTTAATAAATAGCGACTTTGGAGTAAGAACTAGGTGTTTAATATTTTAATGCACACTCACCATTTTTGGTTTGTTCTTATTTGTTGTGAGACACGGCAGGTTATTCAACAACTTTTTGATATGTCTTTTCTGGAGAGGCTGCGGAAGCTTGCCCACCATTTCCTCCACCGTCCCACATGAAGAAAAGTCAATTTCTAAGCAACACAAAATAATACAAAATTGAAAATAGCAATAGTGGGCAGAACCTAAAAGAGATGGAACCAACTTTCTATAAATTGCATGTTCTGTACCTTCAATGTCTTCTCCATCAATTTGGGCATCATCATCGTTGATATTTTGCTCATCTGCAGCATCCACTGTAAAACAAAGATTAATAAAAGAAGCATAATTAATCAATGTCACACCAGCATTGTATTTCACGGGTTACAAAAGAACTTACAAGTGAGATTGTACAAAAAGTGGGCCCTAGCTGCTTGAGTAGCCGACTTGTACTGCACTCCCTTTCTCAACCTCTCATCAAGCAATGCTTTCCGAGATTTTACTGCCTCACATTCAGGACCTCGGTTTGGGTCAAAGATGTCCCCGTCGTTTGTGAGAGTGATGGCTTCAAGATCTTTCTTAAATCCTAGAATTAATGATATAGTTTGAAATAAATATATTCTATAGGTTTGGGTCAACGATGTCCCCTTCATGTGTGAGAGTGATGGCTTCAAGATCATTTTTACATCCTAGAATTAATGGTATAGTTTAAAATACATATAACTTAACCATGGTCACACAATGCACTACAGCCACTCAGTAGACACTTACCAGTTCTTATTATTTTGCCATAAAACTCCTTTCCGTGCCACTTAATAAACCTTTTCTGACCCACGTCAACCCCACCCTTTACATCCCTCTTATTCACAACGCTACTGCTGATCGGGTTATCCCAAAGAACCAGCACGAACGACATTTCTTCTCTGCTATAATAACAGGTGTTGACAGGTGATCAGCTGTTACCCAAATGACACTTTAATCAGCTGCTCGAGAAGCCGATTTGAAACACGAATGCGCGAACAGAACAACAAAAAGTGACAATTACTACACTACAGAAACCACAAATCAGAGAAACAAATTTTAAAGGTCCCTCACGATTGGATATTTTAAAAAATAAACCATGACTACATAAGTTCAAAATCAGACAGGAAAAGGCTTATCTTTGTCCATTTATATATTTAGTAGGTTGGTAACATCGGCCTAGGCGATCGTGTTCTTTTTTTTTTTTTGCATGTGTTTTGGGGATCGTGTTATTGTTGAGAGGGGTCATGACATGAGGTGTTCTTCTGTTCTGTGACCGGTGTTGCTTCGAAGATTACATGTTGTAAGGTGAGTCTGACAGAAAGTATATTTGGCTGCTGCCAATTTTCATTATCAATGCCAATAATTGCTACAGTTGTAGTGATGCGTCAAATTTGTGATTTGAATGAGTGAGCTAAAACAACTTTCTAATGTCTGTAGGTTATGTCGGAGACAGAGAAAGTCAAGAGCAAGAGAGGTCGACAAGTCAATCTCAATGATCTTTCCAGAACAAATAGGAGAAAATTATTGAAAAATCTCTGTGATAGGTCAACTGACAGTTTC